AGTCCCCTGGGTGGTCAAATGGTTAACACGTTTCGCTGCTAACCAAAAGGTTGGAGGTTTGAGTCCACCCAGAGGTGCCTTAGAAGAAAGGTCTGGTGATCTATTTCTGAAAAGTCAGTCACTGAAAGCCCTATGGAGCACAGTTCTACTCTGACACACATGGGGTCACCATGAGTCAAAACTGATTTACAATTAAAAATTATAAATGCAAAGGAAAAATTATTGTCTTTATTTCACTGAAAAAATTCACCAATTATTCTAAGAAATCATTAATTTATCTCTTTAAAAAATAATATTTACAGTTAGTTAAAAAACAGCTTAGATAAAACAAAATTTTCCTCCTCCAACAAAATCAAGCACATAGACAGTGAAGGAGATAACATATATTTTGCTTTGATCCACTTTAAAGGTTAAATTAAAGCCTCTGAAGTATATTTAGAGGATAAATTAAAGGTTTAGAGCTTAGGAAATATTCTAAATAAAAAGGTCTACAAATTATTTTTGACCCAGTGAAAAGAATAAAAAGAGTTGAAAACTCCAATTCTTTAAAAAAAAAAAAAAAAAAAAACTCAAACGCGTACGCGCGCGCACACACACACAAATGTGTAGAAAACAAACTAGTAAACACTGTGTTAATTCAAATGTTTCAATGGACGCAATCAATATTAGATAATTTATCTGAGGATTTTCTCCTTGATTATCAAGATTCTAGAAATAACCTTTTAACTAAATGTGTCTTTGATTTATATTGTATGTTAATGCAGCTGTACAGATCTTCTAAATACATATACTGGTGTAAATATACTTTCCTGCTTTAAAAGTGTACTTGTTTGTTTTTAAGATTTTTATTATAGTATATAAAACGTATTTTACAAACTGGTTTTAAAATCACTGTAGGCAAAACATGGTTTACATATTAGTAAAAACATGCAACTTGAATATTCCACACCTAGTAAGTCATGCAAATGGTGAGACAGTATATACTTTCAATACCTCTCTTTTAGTCTAGAAATCCACCCAGCTACTCTATAAAGGATCTGGTTATAAGCTAATAAAATGCTGAAATACAAGAAATCACACTCCTACACCCCCCAACCCCTAAAAAAAAGTTAAGTAAACATTATGCAGAAAAAAAAAACAAGTAACCAAATAAATGAGGGTTAAAAGTATATATTGTCAACGTGATTAGAGACTGATACTAACAGGATGGACCTTTTGAACAGCCATACTCATCTGTAATCAAGATTACTTTCATATTAGACAGCAGTAAAAAAAAAAAAAGGTTAGAAAAGCAATTTTAATTTTTAAGGTGCTACAACCGATAATATTTATGTACTCTCCCCCTCCTCCCATCCCAACTCTGTTTAAAAACTTCACATGCTGGTATATAGCTCACCTAATAAAAGCAAGAATGTAATATAAAACATCAATTGGCAAAAGAAATCAGTATTACTGTGTGAGCAACTATTGAAAATGATGAAAATTTCTCCTTCATCATTTCTTTATGGTCACCAAGAACTGGTAGTAAATAATGACTTTACCCAAACCAGTACTGGTGAAATAGAATAAAAAGGGAAATAGAGCTAATTATAATTTAGTATTACTAAAAAATATTTTAATGTCCATGTTAAAAATACTTACTAAAGAAAACAGAAAAATCTAAGTGTTCCCCCATTTAACTAGATATTCACTTCTTATAAAAGATACACACGTATATAAACGTACTGTGTACACAAATAGCACTGTTTGTAAAAAAAAAAAATCTTAGTAGTTCATTGAAATTTTGGAAATCAAGTTGTGTATACTGAGTATGATTTTATTTTCAAGTACAGAATTTTACCTGGCTTTCCTTGATTTTAAAATATTAAGCATGTAATTTTCAGTTTTTAGAATACATCTCTAAGAAAAAACCAAAAAACAAAAAAAAAAAGAGACTACTAGAGATTACAAAAGAACAAATAAAAACACTTACGGTAACTACTTTCACTATCGCTGGCATTAGAAGTTACATGCTCTGAAATTGCAGGACAATGGAAAAAATAAGGAAAACACAGTCATGAGTTTAAAAAGCAAACTTGATAAAAGCAAATTATCAAAATAAAAACAAGCTGACATTACAAAATGTTGAGATATAAACCACATATAACCAAACAACTTTAAAAAGCATTTTTGATTTTCTTTGAAAATTATTAAACTATTTAAAAACTAAATACGAATTAGCAAGAAAAAACCTGTAATTAAGGACAATGCCTCATTTTTGTACAATGCATCTTATGAACACAATCTATATTACAAATAGCAGGTAGAATATGACAAAGAAGGGCAAAATGATCCTAAACTAGTCCAATTGTAGATGCAAAGCCTAAAAAGAGAAATTGGCACCATCTAATTTAGTTTATGAAATAGTAATGACTGACAACAGAGACAAGCTACACTTGAGCAAACAAATGCCCATTTTAATGAAAGGATGTCTTTGTAACTAAAAATAAATAGCTGATCTTGTTTTTAGTCCAACTTCTTGTTCCTGAAGTGAAATGAAAAATCTATTTCTGACATTGTACAGATAAAGCATTTTAGATGTTATAAATTCAGATGCTTCAAAAAAAAACAACAAAAAAAATCAAACGGAAGGGAGTTCTGAACAGTGGGATTGTATCTGAAAACAAACCAGGGAAAACCAAAATTTCTCATGTCAGAGAAACAAAAAATTTTTTAAAGGATAAGGAAAAAGTTTGAGGATACATATTTGCTATACCGTATCACCCACAGTGACTCCTAAAATCAAGCAGCACTACTAAAAAGCACAGAGAATGGTAGAACTTAGATCTGAAATAAAGAAAACCGTTTTTAAATGAATTGCTGTCACTCTGAAAAGTTAGTCTATAACCTGCAAAGACAAGATACAACTTTCTTAATCATGATTGTGTATATTTTACATAAAGCAGGAACTTCAAAAATTGTAAGTACGACTTAATAATACATAACAAGCACATGTAAAATGGTGCTTTTTTAAAAAAAAATTAAAAAACTTCTTCCCACGTTAACAAATGGACTTCAAAACAATCATTTAAAATTGTTATATAATTGAATTGTTGAACTATGATTTACCTATTATCCAGACATTTTAGTTTGCTATAAATTATCTTTCACAAACATCATAAATTATTATGAATGTCTTAATTTATATAGCTTTTTACCTTTTATGCTACTTCTTTAAAATTCATTTGCAGAAGTAGGAAAGCCACATTAAAAAAATGGTTCTTAAGTTTTATGTATTAGTATTGGTGTTACACTCTGCAATCTCTAATTTGTTTTAAAAAGAAAAGTTATTGCAATGGGGTGAGAGTAGGGGATAGGTAGGAGTGTAAACAAAACCATGAGTTCATCATTATGGATGCTGGGTATACGAATACTTGCAAGGGTTTATTTCACTATTCTTCCATTATTGAGTTTGTCTGACACATTAGATAATAACAAATTAAAGTTACTACAATCTCTTTTCTATCATTTTCTGGGATTTCTCCTATTCATCTTGAGTTCCCTAATAGCTATCAAGCAATCAAATCCTCCAAGTTCTTTTAAGTCTCTTTTTACTTAGTCCTCTATTCTAAAATCTTGTACTTAAAGTATGGCTCTTGGAACAGCATCATCACAATCATCACTTGGGAATTTATTAGAAAGGTAAAATTTTTTTTCCTGATAATTAAAAAATCTTCAAGGCACTTCACAAAAGAAGATATCCAAATAGGCAATAAAAAGGTGTTCAACTTCATTACTTATCGAAGTAAATTAAAACCCCAACAGTTATGTCTACAATCCACCAGAATGGCTAAAATGGGAAAAAAACAAAACAGACATGTCAAGTGTAGAGAAGGATATGCAGGAACTAAAACTCATACTGGGGGTGGGTGGAAAAGGTAAACTGGTACAACCCTTTGGAAGACTATTTGGCAGTACCTAGTAAACCTAAACATACACACACACACACACACACACACACCCACCCACCCACCTATAACCTAACAATTCCTTTCCTAGGTATATCCTCAACGGTAAAGCATGTGTATACAGTCACCAAAAGACACGTACAAGAATGTTCAAAGTAACACTACTCAAAATAGCTCCAAACAGGAAACAAGCCAAAATGTCCATCAATAGGAGAATGAAAAAATTAACTGTGGTATACTCATACAATGTTATACTATTGCAGCAATGAAAGAACAAGCCACTGCTACATGCAACACCACGGATAAATCTCAAACATAATCCTGAGTGAAAGAAGCCATACTCTATGAGTCTATTTATATAAAGTTCAAAAACAAACAAAATTACTCTACGCTATTCTAGGTCAGGATAGGTCCATCCTTTGGATGGAGGGGTTGTGTGATTTGGGAGGCAGCACAGGAAGAACTTCTGAGGTGCTGGTAAGAAATGTTCTCATTACTGATCTGGGTGCTGGTTACAGGGGTTAACCACAACTTTGTGAAAATTAATCAGGCTGTACACTTAAGGTTAACAGAGCTGTGTACTTTTCTGTATGTAATAACTCACTAAAAAGTTTACTTATCAAAAAATTCACTACTGAAATGTCAGAAAATAAAGAATTCAAATAAAATGCACCTCCTACTCCTCTTTCTATGCATGTACAGATGTTTATAAACTGGAGACAATATACATACAGTTTTATATATTTTTTTATGTTGTGAGCATTTCTCCATGTCATTATTTTTTGATCTGATTTTTCAATGGCTACACATATAATACTGTAAAGTATGGATACATCATACTTCATTAAGCATTCCCCAACTGTTAAGACATTTAGATTGGTTTCAATTTTATTTCTAAATAATAGTAAAACAAACATCCTGATACATAAAACTTCTATCTGCATCTCTGATTACCTCCTCAGGAAAAACTCCTTGAGGAGGAATTACTGTTGTGCATCATTGAGTTGATTCCGACTCACAGTGACCCTGTATGACAGAGAAGAACTGCCCCATAGGATTTCTAAGGCTGTAGATCTTTAACGAAGCATACTGCCACATCTTTCTCCCGTGGAGTGGCTGGTGGGTTTGAACCGCCGACCTTTCAGCTGGCAGCCGGGTGCTTAGCCACTGTGCCACTAGGGCTCCCTTCAGGAGAATTGTTATTGTGTGCTGTCGAGTCAATTCCAACTCACAGCGACCCTACAGGACAGGGTAGAACTGCCCCCTAGGGTTTTCAAGGCTGTAATCTTTAAGAAAGCAGACTGCCACATCTTTCTCCCACCGAGTGGCTAGTGGGTTTGAATAGCTGACCTTTCAGTTGGCAGCCAAGTGCTTAACCACTGTGCTACCAGGGCTACTTGAGAAGGAATTAGTGGGGTCAAAAGATATGCTTTTCCAGAAAGGTTGTACTAGTTTATATTCCCCAAGGTAGTGTGTTAAAAGTAGCCATTTCACAGAACCCTCTCCATCACTAGACTCTGCTTTATAAGAAGAGTCTTCCAACGAGATGGGTAAAACAATCATTTTGTTTACAGATCCCTAGGGATATTAAACATTTTTTAAAAATATGCTTATTTCATTTGCGTATCTTTTGACCACTCCGTCATATCTTTAGTCCAGTTTTCTAATGGAGAGTTACTCTGTTTCTTACTGATCTATTAGAAATTTATAGTGTAAGGATATTATCCCTTTTACATGCGAGAGGGGGATGGGGCCAAGATGGTAGCTTACTTTGACACAACATACTGTCCCTCTACAGTAAAGACCTGAGAAACCAATTGAAACACGTGCAGATGACAATCCTGGAACCCTGAACATCAAAAAGGAAGGATAAGGAACTGAGTTGAACATTGACTAGAAGAAAAATTGAATGAATGCAGAAAATGGAGTGACATGGGGCAAACAGGCTCTGCCAGCCATCCCAGCACAGTATGGCCATCTTGAGACAAAGCCAGTAGTGATTCCAGGAGAAGAACACAGGAAGTCAACAGCATGGCACCTCCAATAAGAGACAAACTATGAACACCCAGAGGGAAGCAATGTGAGCAGATCAGCAACCAGATTCAAGGAAGGAAAACTCAGAAGGGAGGGTGAGATATACTGAGATCCTAATGCCCACAGAGCAGGGGAGAGCCAGGAACCAGAGTAAGGTATACTCACAAATGGCAGTCCCAGACCACTGGGGCGGGTGGTGTGCATGAGGCGGCAGATCTCCGAAGTACCAGTGGGAGGTCACCCACACGCTAGTATTCCGGGTGCCCTTCCCCCTCCTTGCGCTTGGTCAGGGGCAGGCCCTGACTGCTGGTTGCAGCAGACAGGAAGTGCCTGGGTACCCACATCAGTTGGCAGGAGAGGCGCACTCCTTCCTCACCCTCCTAATTGGAGGTGGGGGAGAGTCCCATGCCCCGACCACCCTGCCTGACTGGGGGTCCTAAGACAAGTATCCCCTACCACCCTCCTGGTGAGAGGAGGCAACTGTGAAGCCTTGTGTAAGCCCGCCCATCGCTCACCTCCCCTTCACCTGACCCGGTGAGGGGCAGCATCAGCTTGACTGTGTGCGAGCCTGCCTATTGCTCACCCCCCTCCCAGCAACTGACCTGTTGGGAGGCGGTGCCAGTGCTTCCACACATGTGCCCAACCACCACTCACCCGCCCTGGTGGGAAGTGTGACAATGCAGTCATGAGTGCACCATTCTCATCACACACCTACCACTCCATTCACTTGATCAGTGCCTACGCCCGGTTCTGTGCCACTGGAACAACGACAGACGGCAGGCAACGCCTGCCCAATCTGCCCTCAAGACCAGCAAAGAGAGGCCTGCACCCACACACCCAGCTGCTGCCCAATGACCCAGAGACAGGTGGTGAGTGCTCCAGTGTGACCAGACTAGAGATTAGAGTAGCACGCACACCCTGTCTGCCTGGATACATCAAAACAAAACAAAACATCAAGATGCAGCAAACAAACATACAATTAATAAATAAATATAATAACACCTTAATGCCTCGGAGACAACAGACAATATCAAATCACATAAAGAAGCAGGACAAGATGGATCCAGCCAGTGACCAAAATAAAGAACCAGAAAACCCTCCTGACGAAGAAATGACAATGGAACTACCTGATTATAAAGAACTCGAAAGGCTTATATATAGGGTTTTCCAAAACATCAAGAAAGAGATCAAGGAAAACACAGACAAAACCAAGGAAAATACAGACAAAATCAAGGAAAGCACAAAGTGCTAGAAGAATTCAGGAAAACAATACAAGAACAAAGTGACAAAACAGGCAACTAGAAGCCATACAAAAACAGCAATTAGAAATCTAGAAGATTAACAATAAAATTTCAGACAACTTAATAGAAGCATATAGGAGCAGAATGGACTCAATCGAGGACAGAGCTGGCGAAATACAGGACAAATCTCTTGACACGAATATGCTTGAGGAACAATCAGAAAAAAAGAAATGAAGAAAACCTAAGAATAATGCAGGACACTATCAATAGGAATAATTTACAGATGACCATTATTCCAGAACAGGAAGAGGAAAAACAAAAACAAAACCACAGAAAGAACTGCTGAAGATTTGCTGACAGAAAACCCCCTAATATTATGAAAGACGAGAAGATATCCACATCCAAGAAGCTCAAGGAATCCCAGACCTCTTTGACATACATGGTACAAATATATTCTTCAAGAGTTTATTTAAATTTTATGATGTTTGATGACCACAGCTATTTCAAATCTCTCTAACCAAGTTTCATCTTTCTACTCACACATACCTCCTCACAAAGCGCATCATGTCTCTTCTGCATTTCCTGAATATTATTACATCAATACCAAGGACCACTACTATTCTTATATCTTATTCTTAATACCAATGCTATAAAGTCTCATTTTTTGGCATGTAAGAACTCTGTATAACCTTGCTTAAATAACATTTTAAGATGAAAAGAAAGGAAAGATAATGTAAAGGGAAGCCTATTGTACCTGAGGAAGCTTTTCAGATGTTCCACAAAATAGAAAGCTGTAAAAATTTATAAACTGCACATAAAAGATAGGCACAAACTTTGTCTGATACTATATATTATGATTTCACTTGTGAGTACCCTTATATGTCCCCTCATGAGCTATATTTCCTTTTAGCCTCTGTTAAACGAATCTTACTCAATCTGCTTTTTTTCTCCCTTGAGCTTTTCCAAAATTGCTTAAAATCTGCACAGGTTTCTATTTCTAGCTTTTCACAAACTATGATAATTTAGTTGCATTCTCCCAGAGTTCCCATACTCTAATTAGTTCTCTGTTAGTCAAAATTAAGTTTGAAAAAGCAATTATTTCATTGTTTCCTCTACTGTCAACAGAGCAAATCAATAATTTATTTGACCTTCTTTTTAGAATAAACCAAACCAAACCTGTTGCTGTCAAGTTGATTCCAACTCACAGCGACCCTATAGGACACAGCAGAACTGCCCCATAGAGTTTCCAAGGAGCAGCTGGTGGATTCGAACTGCTGACCTCTTGGTTAGCAACCAATCTCTTAACCACTGAGCCACCAGGGCTCCTTTTAGAATAAAGAACCACTGAATTCATGCCAGTGAAAAGTATCTTATGGTTTATGACTTCTGTTTTTCTTGCTGCTCTTCAATTAAATACTCTACTTTATATAAAGTGTGTGGATTTACATGAAGATGTACATCTTTCTTGACATTCAGTGTTATTCCACGTCTTCCCGACAGGTTTGTTTCTCTGGAATAATCTACCCTTCTATTCTCAGTTTCTTCATGAGTCCTGTTCCAATAAACAAGACTATGAATACCTGTATCAGGTCACATTTATTTTCTCATACTAGAACTTTGCTTAGTTTATTCCCTATATTCTAAACTTATAATAGAGATAACAGAGGCCACAAGTAATATCCTTGACCCACCTTTCTCAGTTATCTTCTATTGTATAATAATGGGTACCTTACTACTATCAGTTATCTGTTTTGTGTGATAATCTCCATTATATACAATTTTAGAATTTTATGTTATTTTTCTGTCTCCCTCAGCATTTTCCAAATAAAATTTTCTTGATCTGATCATCAAGTTACTAGATGAATATATTTTTTCAGTTCCTATGAAACGAAGCACAGATGCCTATCATTCAAGGGTTCTTAGCTCACTGTCCAGAAAATCAAATCTTTTTAAAAAATGACATTGTTTGGTAATTAGTTATAATTTCTCATATTGTTTCTCAAGTCCCAACCAGAGGTGAAAATACAATGTGCTTAAGGTGTAATTATCATTCATCATAACAATACCAATGTTATAAAACAAAATAAAAATTCTTCGTTTAGTTCCTTTTTCTGTACATTTTCCATAGGTCTCTGTTGACGAAAATGATAATAAAAACTATAGGTTCATTTGATGATCCATACCACCTCTAAAATATGTTATCAATCTCAAAATGAATTCTACAGCATTAAGAATCTGTGGAAATATTTTTCAGTTTTGAAGATTTTCACTGATAATTTTTCGCAAATATAAGAGATTTAAAAAAAAAAAAAAGCATCACTAGTAATGGGAAATTAGTGACCTTCACGAAATCCTAAAAAGGGACGTACAAAATAACAAAGTGTGTCTAACAGAAATAATTCTACATAGAGCATATGGCCTTCAATCTAATACAAACCTTTAATCCTTAAGTCTGAAATAAGAGTCAAGTACTTATACTTAAGAATAAAATTTCAGTATAAAGTTAGCATAAATCAGGAAAAAAATCTTCTGTGAAATTTAATGTCTATTTACTCAGATCTTAGAAAGTAAGACATTAGTTGTATCCTTAATGATTAATGATTTACCAAGAAATGTTTTTAATATGTTTAATAATCAAAATGGAAAGCACCATCCAGAAAAAAAAAAAAAAATTTAGGCTAAAGGTGACTTCCAGTCACAAGTTATCTAAAGAGACTTAGTGAATTTTATTATTTCAGCCAAAATAGTAAAGTTTCACATTTGAGCAATTTGAAAATACTCAACTTTAAAATCTTGTTTACTAAAATTAATTTTTGCTTCATTCATTCATTCTAATATTTATCGAGTGCCTCCTCTACATCAGATTCTGGGTCAAGCTTTATATTAAGATTAAATACTGGCTAGAAAATTAAATAAGAACATCAAAAATAAAAAAAGATCATCTTGATTAAAGGAAAAACATAGGATAGTATTTCTTATCATCCTTCTCATAGCCTATAATCTCTTTAAGAAAAGAGATACACATTTTTTTCCCTAAATAGATTGCTACTGGAACTTGAGGTCCACAATTCTTCTTGTCTGATATTTAAGATATATTGTGTTTTCTACTTCTCCATTATAGTAATGCTTTACTAACACAGAATTAAGGTGATTTTAACAAAAAAGAAAAAAAGGTGGGGGGGGAGACATAAAACTGCAAGGAAGCATATTTTCATATTTTAATAACAAGGGCAGTTAATATTTTAATTGTTGTAAAAATATATATAACACATTTTCCAATTTAATGTTTTCCACGTGTAGGTAGTACTATTTTAAAAAACTTATTTAAAAATATATGTATTAAAAATATCTCTAGCGAAAGTAACTATCATAAAAATTACAAAAAGGAAAATGTAATTATGAGCAGTTTTTCATGTGACATGTGAAAATGGAGCATAAAAAAAAAGGTGTGTATTACAGAAATAAAAATCCCAAGCGTGTTATTAACATGAAAAGTCTAAAGGCAATCTAAATCATATACCTCCTTATTACAGAAGAGCACTACAATGAATCTCAAAATGTGCCTGAGAAATGTAGGTCTGTAGATGGAGGTTAAAAAATAACTTGGGAGTATTTTGATCACTTACTCAGGCCTTTTGATCCCATGTCGTCAGGGATCTCCTGTAGAGAGTAGTCCCCAGAGAGCAAGCAATAAAAAGATAATCAAAGAAAATAGTTGTCAGTAATGTATAAAATTGTTGCTACAATAAGAGACAGTTCCAAGACCATTACAGGTGCACATATCTTACAGAGTTATTTTTGTACCCTTCTGAAAGTTTGAAATGAGCTAGTAGCTAAATGTAATCTTCCACAAGAATAAAAGAGCTTGTTTTATCTTAGAGGCTGGTAAGTGTAGAGAAGCAAAATGTAAAATTATTTCTTGCTATTTTAGAAATAAATTCAGATTGTCTACATATATAATGAAAAAATAGGATCAAATGTAATGATTCCAGATGATCTAGTACCAAAGACCGGCAATGCTATACCTAAAAAGTGTAAGTAGCTTCTGAGGTATCCATGTTTTTTCTCTAAAATATTCTTTTAGAGTATAAATGGTAAGCATTTCTCATGAGAGTCCTCATATCAGAGAATTCTATTCTAAACTTATTAACTTAAAAAAGTACTGTTTACTTTAGGAATTCCTAAGGTGCCAGAAATAGTTAAGACTGGTATACAATCTAATTTATGCCTTTTAAGTTGCCCCTTGTTAAGACAATCAGTAACCTGTTGCAGCTCTTGAAACTGTCTCCATGGTAACAACCAACTGCAGGGCAGCAGGTCCCTCTACATTTATTTTCAGTTGACCACTGGATCCACATACTTACGGTCAGCATCACTCGTTTCCTGCTCACTCTGGTCCTTGTTCTTGTAGAAGGGAAATTTTCGGGAAAAGAGGTTCTTTTTACGCTTGTCATTGAATGACTGCTGAAGAAGAGAAGGAGGGGCAAAACAAAGGGATGTCTACTGTCTGTGTGTACAAAGGCCCAGCCTAGCAGCTCTGTGGAAGCTGACTCCTGTGACCACAGTGTGCAGTTTGTATATGAATTTTACTTTAATCATATATAAAGTTAATTTCTGATTTTTGTATAAACTTCTCTAATTCCAACATTTTACAACTGAAAATATTTAAAAATTGAAAGAGTGTAATTTAGTTATACCTAAAAATAAGGATTAAGTGCTACTTGACAAAAAAAGACGAAAGTAAGTAAGATTAGCTATTACTATAGTACAAACTACACTAACATCTATTTCTACTAATTCATATTTTCTAGAAAAATATCTAGGTACTAGCTGCTCTATAGGAAAAGTTACTTTAAATGTTACTCCGGCTGCTCAAATTTTTTTTTTAGGCATTAAGTAACATATACTCTTCATTTTCCTTTGGTTTGAGCAATTTTTTACTGTGTGTGTAGCTCCAATGAATTAACAAAAAAGCCATCATTAGAAAAGAAAATTAAAACAATTATGAGAAAACTGTTAGTGCTGAATATTCAAAAGCAATTTTATTTTTGGGAAAGGAGAAAGATATAACTAAATGCTTATAGCATGAATAAGAAAATAAGACAAAACTGGGGGGGAGTCCATCAAGCCTACAGAATTTAGGAAGAGATTTATCAATGCTACTGAAGCCAAGAAATCAGAGTCAGAACTGTCCTGGACAATCTGAATGCTATCACAGTGGATTAACTTGTCTTCAAGTGCTACTGTATTTATGTATTTTATGTCTGTCCGTGTATCTTATCTGTCTCTGCACCCACTGGTACCACGTCCGGGGTAGAGAATGAACATCAATGCCCACAGAAGCCACAAAGGCAGATGCTAACAGTTTACACAACTGTTATGAGGAGATGAGCAACTGATTTGATGTCCCCTATTGCATAGATGTTAGAAACAAGTTTTTTCCCCTTCTTGAATGTCCTATTTGTGTATGCACAGATTTAAGAGCATGTAGCACAAAGAATGATGAGGCTATAAAAGAGGAATAGCTTCTTTTGCAATTCTTCTCTGTCACAGGCATTCGTGTCTTGAAAGAAACGGCCTTATCTACCAGTGACACTGGGAATTATTATTATTATTTTTCTGGAAGAGGGAACAATATAAAACAGAAATTTTGTTCTAATTTCTCTTGAGTTTATTCACATCATGAGATGTTATTACTATTTTGAAGCATATTAATACCACACAGCATGTTTTTGGCATGTCCATATTGTTTAATCATGTGATCCCAGCTGATTAAGGTGCTGAACTAAAGAGACTTTTAGCTCAAATTCAATGACCTGTATTTATTTTGGTAACGATCTTTATAAAAACAAAGTTAAACTTCTTTTTTACTTTTTCGTATCAATAATTCAGGATTAGTAAGTTCATAATTCATTAGCCAAGTAGATTGTCTTGATTTCAGTCTTAAATTTTCAAGGCTCTAGGGCACTAGATAAATAAGAACTCTAAGCAGAAGTTAACAATTCAGTTGATGAGAAAAAAATGTAGAGAAATCTGAACTTATATTTTTATAAACCGTCAAGTAGCATTATTTGAATAAAAATCTTTGCTTGAATCCAAACTTTAGAAAAGTACAAAGAGAAGAACATTTAAGTTTCATTAGAGAAAAATTTACAGTCATTTATTTTCGGGAAGAACTGAATCTTTTCCTTCATGATGATCACTGAGTTTTTAATTTAATGATAAATTTCATGGTATTTGAAAAAATTGATGATATATTTTGTAAGAGACTGTCCCTTCTACTGCATATACAGTGGTCAGAGTCAGTTTCACAGCAAACAACCAAAAGAAACGTGAAGTTTAAAATGTTTTGAGTCTTGATATCTTTGAAGTTAGTAAAAATGAAGTAAAGGTATCATTTAAGACAGGACAGATGGAAAGAATTGCTTGTTAGTTAAGAAATGTATTAATTGTATTATATTTAACATCCTCTAGGTGAAGAACTTATTAAAAGTGAAAACAGTACAAGCAAACAAGCAAAAACGGAAAACACAAAACCGAAGAGACATGCTACCTCCAGTTTCTCTATATTAAAAAAAAAAACAAAAACCAAAACATATATTTAATTACTTCTTGTCACAATGCTATCTTGTAAGACAGACAAAGTGTAAAAAGTATACTAATAAACTATCACAAATGCATGATATAAACATTAAATATCAAAATATGTAACTTTTATATGTAGTATTTCAAAGTAGTCAAATAAATGTTAGAAATTAACGAGAAACTGAAATGTTGTAAGTTTGTAATAGAAGTAAAGTCCACAAACCACCATGTAAGGAAAGGAAAAGGAGAACTTAGAACGGGAAATGGTTTTCATAAAGAAATGCAGTTCTATATCAATGGCAAGCGTATTTTTACCCCACTAAGTATCATGCATACTTTTGGTGCTGTGTTAGAACACAGTGACTGTGTATAAAGTTGGTTACAGTCAACAAACAAGACTAAGATTTAAATATGTCGTTAATTCAGTTAACTTCTTAAGTATTAAAAGAAAAGTTATAACATGCAACCTTTTCACTTCATTGACAGTGATATTTTACTAAATTGTTTTTAAAGACATACATAAAACAAGCACAAAAAGCACTGCACATATTCCAAATCCTGAGCATTTACTTGGGATTTTTCCTCCAACAAAAACTTTTATTTAAAATATTGCTCCAGATCACTCTACAGAATTTTGTATTTTCTAAATAGTTAATTTTAAAGGAACTTATCATTTCGAAAATGTAATTGAATGCATTATACAAATGCATTACCCAGATTTAATTTCTCTGATCAAGGATCCTATTTTTATCTCTTAGACTCTAAGACTTTAAGTTTGAATATTTAATGATATCAGAAATGTACAAAAAGTAGAGTTAATTTATTTCTTGAGTTAACTTTCAACATTCATTTGAGAGAAGATTAAAAGACTTGTAATAAAAAAACAAAATCCCCAAAACCAGAACCATTACTGCTAAAATATTCCACTGCGGGAAGTTGAGGATTATCAGAAATTATACATATGTACAAGATGAAACCTGTAGTATCTTTGTCATCTACTGATACTTAAAATTTTTTAGATCTGAGAAGGGCTTCAAGTAAATGAAAACAGATACATGTTTAAAATATATATGAAAGAATTTTGATATATTTCTTGACCATTTACATGCCTGCTCCTCTCAACTGTCCCTTTCTCTATTCCCCTCCAAATAAAAATTCATATGATTCAAACATTTAAAACATGGATCATAATAACAAATTATATCAGGAATAAAGAGAGGAAAGAACAAGAAAATTTTCATTAATTCACTTGCAACAACTTGTAAACTTACATAATGAATTAGGTAATGACAGTTTTTGGTTTATTTTCTCAGAAGATTCATTATTAAATTAGCTATCATGATTAATAACTGGTGATGTAAGTTTCTAACTGAACATCTGAATAAATGCTGAATTAATTTCATTTGTAAAAGTAACTTTGACCAAAAGTTTGTAGCTAAGAATATATCAAATGATAGTTTTGATAATTTGAAATGGGTATTTTAAATTAATAAATGCTTAATTCAATGTCTACTACTGGAAAGCACCACGACAAGAGCTGTTCATACTTTATTTATGAAAATCTGTCTCATTTTAATACTATAGCTCAATCAAGAATTATGAAAAGGCCCATTGTACCCAACTATTAATTACCAGAAATAAGAGATTTCATATACTCACCCCTTTATCTCCTCTTGTTTTAGAATTGAATTTCACTGTTTTTAACCGGGCTCGTTCTTTCTTCTCAACCCTGTCAAAGTACAGAATATAATTTCTTAAAGTATATCAAACATATCTAGGAATCTTACTGGAAATTATCAGAACTGATACTGGGCATTTTTGTATTCTAAAACCTTCAGGAACCGTCTAGGTTTGAATGCCCAAAATTAATCAGAATTTTTGAAAAATGAAATATAGGATTTATTATGAAATACAACCACTTATTAAGTATCCAAATACAGTATATATGCATGCATGTTTATATATGCACTTAATTCCATAATTATACTGAAAGTGAATGAGGTACCATTTCTTTTTAAAAAAATTTTTTTTATTGTACTTTAGGGTGAAGGTTTACAGAAGAAATAGTTTCTCATTAAACAGTAAGTACATATACTGTTTTATGACATTGGTTAACAACCCCACAACATGTCAACACTCTCCCTTCTCAACCTTGGAGGGCCTTTTTTTTTTTGGTGAAAATATACATAGCCAAAGATACACCATTTAAAAAATTTCTACATGTACAATTCAGTGACATTATGTTCTTCCAGTTGTGCTGC